AAAAAAAAAAAAAAAAAAAGTTACTTTTGCCACATCAAAAACATAATTTAATGTATGGTTGACTCAGTTTCCAGTCTTATGATCTATACATCTCATATTGTAGTGACTCAAACCTGCTGGGTTACCCAGGACTGTAATTTTTAAAAACCCACGGTGATATCTGGTTTCAGATATGACTGGATTCATATAATTCAGAAGATTTCATCAGATCATTTCTTGCTATCTCAGCACCATTTAATTCCATCTGAATTTATAGTTAATGATTTATAATTTGTTATGATAACTAACAATATCATAATGAAGGAGAGTAAAATCCTTTATTGGGGTATAACACATGACTATTTGAAAGGGGCGTTGATCAGTGTTTCCTGGAGAGTAAGAATGCATTATATACAATGTGGACGTCTCCAGGGCCCTTCCAAACATAAGTAAGTAGACAGTTTCTGAAGCGTTTATTTTAGTAATATATCTATATAAAATTAAACTAGGGAAGGTTTCTCTTCTCTTTGATCTGACACCTCTTCCAATAAACAGAGCAGGCCGGGCTCGGTGGCTCAAGCCTGTAATCCCAGTACTGTGGGAGGCCGAGGTGGGTGGATCATGAGGTCAAGGGATCGAGACCATCCTGGTCAACACGGTGAAACCCCGTTTCTACTAAAAATACAAAAAATTAGCTGGGCATGGTGGCGCGTGCCTGTAATCCCAGCGACTCAGGAGGCTGAGGCAGGAGAATTGCCTGAACCCAGGAGGCGGAGGTTGCGGTGAGCTGAGATGGTGCCATTGCACTCCAGCCTGGGTAACAAGAGCGAAACTCCGTCTCAAAAATAAAATAAAAAAATAAAAAATAAACAGAGCAGCTCTTACAATCATTTTGCACTAATTAATAACTTTGGGACATACCAAACCCAAGTATTTCTTACATTTCCTGTTTCCTTACATTTTATGAGTGCCATATCATAGGCTCCAAGATAAGGGTCTGTTCTGGCTTTGTTCATTTATATGAATATATACCTGTATATTATGAAAAGCATAACACAGCACAAAGCACGAAACCATAGTTCTGAGGAGAGACAACTCTACTATTTGGGCAGATTACACAGAAGGTAAAGAGTGATCTTTCCTTTTCTTTCTTTTATTTTTTAAAGACGGGGTTTCACCATGTTGGTCAGGCTGGTCTTGAACTCCCGACCTCAGGTGATCTGCCCGCCTTGGCCTCGAAAGTGCTTGGATTACAGGCGTGAGCCACCATACCTGGCCCTGATCTTTCCTTTTCTCTTGTTGAACAAACTATCACTTAAGCAAAGATAACGAAGTTTAATCTTTTTAAATACAATATTTTAAATTAAAGATTTCATAAAGATTTTAACGAATAAACCCCACGTTACAGTTCCCAGATGCCAGCCAGTGGCCAACCTTGTAGGCAAATCTTTCTAAAGATAGCAGGCTGGGCCTTGCTATGTTCACTTTTCTGCACAGTTTTGTTGCCATGATTGTTTTCATACAGCCTCGCAGCCACTCACATTAATCACAAATTTGCTAACCAAAGAAATTAACTGGGATCTAGATAATCAGAACCCTCTACTATAGACAGGCAACTTAGCAGACAAGCAAAACTCACAAACCCATAAAATAACCTCCTGCAGCCACACATCCCTTTTACACCTTAGCACACACATTTCCTAGCTCTGTCTACTGAAGGGGGCTAAAAGCAACAACGCCTCGGTTTCAATTAGCCCAGATCTTGGTTTCTGATATCGTTCTCTGCTAAAAGGAACCAAGGCTCCTCATAAAAATGGCCGATTCCAGGTCTAAGAAAAGGAAACTCCAAGAAGATCCTGGAACATCTCAGGAAAAAAAAAAAAAAAACTATTCAAAAAAAATGATGAGGGCAGGTCACAAAGACACAGGAAGTAGACCTCACTGACTAAATCTGGTACAATTTGAGCAGCAAAACATAACAATGATGAATTGTAAACCATTGAAAAAGTAGTGGTCCATGAGTTCACACTGATAATAAGTAAATAAATGAGCGATAGCAGAGGACCTTGCTTACAGCAGAATACCCGGTGCCAACGTGTAAATGCGAAGGGAATGTTGGAGCTGGAAAACTATCATTTTGTAGCCATAACACTAAAGACCGATTCAAGCAAGAATCATCAACGGATGCTAAATCTAAGGGGAAATTTTGATGAGGAATAGGATATTTGATTAGAATTCAAGTATCTTTTCCAGAGATTGCTTGTTATGATTAGCAACTGCAAAGCAAAAAATAATTATATAGTGGAAGAACTGGGAAAAACTTTGAATACGTGATCAAAATGAATATAATGAGTAAGCGGCGCAGGGACATTGTGTGCCTCAGATGTGACACCATGAGAAGGACACAACGTACGGTGTGCACTATTCTGGCTGGGAATGCGTAACTGGAATCTAATCATGAGGAAATATTTGACAAACCCCAAAATGAGGGCTATTGATAGGACTGCATTCTTCCAAAGTGTTGTCACAAAAGACAAGGAAAAGCTGAATCACTGTTCCAAATTAAAAGAGACTAAAGAATCATGACAACCAAACGCAATACAGAATCTTGGACTAGGTCTTGTGTGAGAGAAAATCCCCCAAAGACATTATTGGTTCAATTTTTAAAAACTGGAATACAAGCAATAGAGTAGATAAAAGTACTGTATTGATGTTAAATTTACTGCAATTGATAACTATATCATGGTTATATAAAGTATTAATAGTATCCTCATTATTGAGAAATGTATATTGAAGTATTTAGAGGTAAGGAAGAGGAATGTGGGCTAGGTGCAGCGGCTCACGCCTATAATCCCAGCACTTTGGGAGGCTGAGGAAGACGGATTACCTGAGGTTGGGAGTTTGAGACCAGCCTGGCCAACATAAATAAATTCTGTCTCTACTAAAAATACAAAATTAGCTGGGTATGGTGGCATATGCTTGTAATCCCGGCTACTTGGGAGGCTGAGGCAGGAGAATCACTTGAACCTGGGAGCAGAAGTTGTGGTGAGCTTGAGATCATGCCATCAGACTCCGGCCTGGGCAACAAGAGTGAAACTCTGCCTCAAAAAAAAAAAAAAAAAAAAAAAAAAAAGAGTAATGTATGAAATTTACTTTCAGCCGGGCGCGGTGGCTCAAGCCTGTAATCCCAGCACTTTGGGAGGCCGAGGAGGGTGGATCACGAGGTCAAGAGATCGAGACCATCCTGGTCAACATGGTGAAACCCCGTCTCTACTAAAAATACAAAAAAAAAAAAAAAAAAAATAGCTGGGCATGGTGGTGCATGCCTGTAATCCCAGCTACTCAGGAGGCTGAGGCTGGAGAATTGCCTGAACCCAGGAGGCGGAGGTTGCGGTGAGCTGAGATGGCGCCATTGCACTCCAGCCTGGGTAACATGAGTGAAACTCCGTCTCAAAAAAAAAAAAAAAAGAAATTTACTTTCAAATGATTCAAGAAAAATTTGTATATAGAAAGGGCAAATGATGAAACAAGCAGGATTAAATGTTAACGGTGTGTCAATCTGACTAAGAGGAACCTGGCTATCCATTTTAATTCTATTGCATTCTTAGTGTAAGTTTCAGGTTTCTTTCTTTCTCTCTCTTTTTTTTTTAAATTTGCTCTTTTAATGCATTAATAAATCCATATTATGTATTACTTTCTGGAAAAGGGTTAAACTCAAATATCTGAAGTACTTTCCATTATTATACCAGGTCAAGAAAAATACCACAGCCAGAAAATGTGTATTTAAAAACAGAAACATACATAGATTAAGCTTTAAAACAACCAACTCTCAAAAGAGGAAAGAGCCTTTGATCCCAGAGTCCACACCCAATGAATTCCATATGTGTTTGAAATTCACATAAGGAGCACGTAAAAAACCACCTGAAATGTTAATCCAACAGCCCCCGTACCTGCGAGGGCTCCCGCGTCTGCCAGTGTGAGGACATGGCCAACCCCCTCTGGACACTCAGGTGCCGGGAGGCACCACAATTCAGGGTGACCGGCAGTGTGCAGCTCGGTAACCGAGACAGCTGTTCACACGTGGGGGGCATCGTAAGCACTACCAGCTCCGAATCTGACATGAAGGGAACTTGGGAGAGGTCTGAGCAATGTCCAAAGGGATTCTGGCAACACAGAAGACGCAATGTCTAGGAATGCCACGAGATGCTTCCAAAAATACTCATTGACAATTCAAGTTACACTTGGCTGGCAGCAGCCTGGGCAGCCCCAAGGGTGGGCGGCCTTCAGTCCGTGTGGGGTGTGCGCGTGGCCTCCTCTTAGGACTCCCCTGACTCATTCACTCTGCGTTTATCCACAGGATAAAGCCACCACTGGGACAGATAGACCAGAAACACCACGTGGGCATGGTGCTGATGAAGGCAAAGACATAGTCAATGAAGGTATTGAAAGCTTTGTAGGTGAAGGCCTTCCAGGGCAGATGTGCCACTGACTTCAGCTTGTAGTTCAGGAAGAGCTGGAGCAGCATGAAGAGGAAGCCGAAGGCATAGACCCCACTGACAAAGCTGTTATTAACCAGAAGTACTAGCTCTTATACTTGATGTTCAGGAACGAATAGACAGCACCCTCCATGCAGAGAGGGTACAGCAGGTAAGACAAGTTCTTCATGGCCTGAGTATGGTACTTCTTGGTTTTCCTCTTGGATTCTCTGTAAGTGCCAAACTGAAGTTCCAGTCTCAGGCCTCTACGCGGAACAGTCATCTTCAATGCCTTCTTCACTTTCCATGCTTGCTAGAGGCTCCCATGCCCGCTGGGACCAGCACCAGCAGGCTCCTCTTCTCATCCAGCAGGAACAGGAAGATGACCACATGCTGAAGCAGCTCCAGAGCACTGCCCTGGTGGACATGCCAATCATGCTCTTCTTCCAGAAACTGATGTCATTTTTAAAGGCCAGGAAATCAAAGCGAAGATGGAATGCTCCGACGGAAAAGGTCAGCGCCAGGAAGTACAAGTTGGTATCTACAAAGATTCCTTTCACCTCATCAGCATCTTTCTCTGAAAACCCGAACTGCCGCAGGGAGTTCACGGCAACCTGCATGTGGATCCAGAAGCGCAGCCGCCCCAGCGAGACCTTGTCGTAGGACACCGGGAGGGGCAGCTCTGTGGGGAGCGGTTTATGACCCTCAGGCCCTTCCCGCGGTTGCCAACCTGGCGGATGAGCAGCATGGGGAGGTGGTGCACGGCCTTCTCCAGCTGGACCATCTTCATGTGCCGATGCACGGCGGCTGGCAGGGAGCGCCAGCGGAAGACGAAGTTGTCCGCCGTCGCGTTCAGCGCCAGCCGCGGTCTCCCGTGGGACAGCGGCTCATCGGCGCGCCAGTTGGCTTCTTCTCCGCCTCCATCTGCTGCTGTGTATCAGAATCCCCAGGGAGCAGGTTGATTTCTTCCGGCTTGGGGACCACGGCAGTGGTCAGAGGACTGACGGGTGCACCTGCTTCCCCTCGTGCCAAGGCAGGATCCCAGCGTGCTGGAGGAGGATGCAGGCATGCAGCGCCCCGTTATTTCTTGTTTTCTTCGGTACAGACACAGGAACCGTCTTTTCAAAGTTGGACTCCACATCGAAGTCTTCCACCTTCAAGACCAGGTCGATGCTGTTCTCAGCACCCAGGTGGGACCGCGTCGTGGGGTACACGCTCAGCTGTAGCTGGCGCCGATGCGCTATGTAGGGCTGGATGCAGCTGGCGTCGCCGGAGCTAGGGCGGGTGTAGATGATGCCCTGCAGGACCCAGCAGGTGCGCACCACGCAGACCACCAGCACGCCCAGCACGAAGCTGGTGAAGGAACCGCGATCCCTCTACAAGGCGGCCCCGCGCCCGGAGCCCCCGGCCCGCCCGACTCTCAGCCGCGGGCCCCACACGCCGGGCGCCACTCTGGGGAAGCCTCAGCCACCGCCGTCACCGCTGCGTGGGAACGAATGAGCCGCGCGCTGCTGACTGCTTGCCGCCCTGGTTTCTTTCAAATTAAAAATTAAGTGAATACATATATGGACCCAAAGTTAGACCCATTCTGTAAAAATACAAGGCAAAAATACTTCTAACACAACTATGTCGAAAGACCGTTTTTGCTATCTTACCTAAAACACGTCGCCAATGATTGATTATCCACTAATAATCTCTCCTTTTCCTTCTTTCTTTTTTCTTTCCTTTTTTTTCTTTTTTTCTTTTCTTTTTTTTTTTTTTTTTTTTTTTTTTTTTTT